GCAGCCCAGAGCTCTGGCTGGGAGAGGTGTGAAAATGCTCAGACTGGGGAAATACATTCCCCTTGCTCCTCGGGATGGGTGTGCGCATGTGCTTCTGCCTGCTGCCCTGCTTTCTGCAGAGCTGTCACCGCTGTGAGAAGAGATTCAGCATCACCAAAAGGTTCACCAGCACAGAGCAGGGCTGTGTTTGGTCCCTGCTCATGCACAGCTTGAACCTGCAGAGCCAATTTCAGCTGGGTGGCACTGGGAAACCAGGAGAATTGTTCGTGGCAGCTCTGTGCGCTGATGAACTTGCTTTGTGCCAGCCCTGCACTGGCTTTCCCACAGGTTTTTTCTTTGTGTGTCTGAACCTTAGGTGTGGATTCAGGGCAGGCTCAGGGGCTGCCCCCAGTTGCAGCCAGCTTGTGCTCCTAGTACCCAGCACAGGAGGGATTGCACAGATGGCTGCCACCCTATGCTTTACATCAGCCTGGCACCTGGCCCTGCACACTTTCAGAAGCAGAAGATACAGATCAGAGCAGCATTTCTGTTACTGTCATCATCGAAAGTGGCATTTTAGTGAGGGCCTCAGAGGTGGGACAGAGAAAAGAATTGTTCTTTCTAAACCTCTTCACAGGGATCTGCAACTGGTGAAATTGCAGGTACATCTTAAAGATTGAAGTCAGTGGGTTCTCCTGCAGTGCACTGGATTTATTCTCTTTACTGCTTTTTGTTTATAAATGGCTGCCTCCTTCTTGTTCAGGGAGCATTTGACAGAATGCTGTTGCTCCTGTGGTATCTCTTCCACATGTGCCAACCTTCTGCATGTCTCTGGGGCACCCTTCACACAGAAAGGCTGTATTTGTGTGAAATCCTTGCAGGAGAGTGCCTCCTGTCACCTCTGCTTACCTAGAATAAGCTTTCTGGTTCAGCACTGAAATGAAACCATCTGGAAAAGGAATCTCCCAATAAAATGCTCCTCTTAATTTAAAGAATTTGCGCATTTAAAATGTCTAGATCTTCTGTGGGAACACACTGGTTTCATCAACATTTTTGAGTAATGCGATTGAACAATTTTAATCAAGTCAACATTCTTCCTTTTGGTTTTATGTTATGGCTTTGATTGAAGTAAATCACTTGGAGTATATTGTTTTGCAAAAAATGTCAAAATTTATAACTTTTTGGCCCCAAACCGAATTGAAATAAGCATCTTGAAATCTTGTTTTATTCCCCTGCAAGGAGACAGGAATATGATGTTTTTCAGCCAGGACTAGTTATAATCTTGATGACTGCTGCTGTTAGCCTTGGATGTCCCATAACACAGATACTGGTTTCATCTGCTTTCCTTTTCCATGAAAATATGTGCCTGCAGTAAATGCTTATTTGGACTCCTTTTAAAGCTGGTTTTCCATAAGGTCTTTACTCTGCCTATCCTAGGAATGCTTTTTGAAGCAGGAATTGAGGCATAAGGAACTGCAGCAGTGTGACCATCTGCTATTTACTGCTGCTTTACCTCACATGTTTCCATGGGGAGAATTTGAGGGACTCAGTCCAGAGCACTGCCCTTCTCTTGCATGGGCACTCCTGCTTGCTCAGGAGGCTCAGGAATGGCAACAACTTCTTTAATAATGGCCCAGTAAAACCCAGAAAAGCCAACAGGCTTGAACCGTGAGCCAAAGCAGAGCAGGATAGACGGGTTAGGAAATGCCATAATGGACATGAATGGAATTCTCCTGAGCCATGAAGCAGTGCATGAGGGCTGGCATGAGTGGCACATGGTTCCTTGCTCTAGAGCTCTGCAAAGCTTTCAACAGAGCCTTTGAAAGACTTTTATTTTAGGTGTGCAGGGCTTAATTTGTCCTTCAATGGAACAGCAAAATCAATGACCTTGGTAAGAGTGGGTGAAGGCCATTGGTGAGAGTACAAAGAACCAATTCTCATTCTAGTAAAGCCCTTGCATATTGCCCCAGTTGTGTAAAAGGACATTAAGGAAAGCATTAAAATAGTTAATGGAAACAAATTATTGCAATAACATCTGGTAGTATTAAACTCCCCTTATCCTACAGAGATAGTGCATTTTTTTTTTTACCCTCTTGGTTCAGACACCTTTATTTACAGCTCCAGCTTTTGATGGCGTTCCTCAGTAATGAGCTGCTGTCTCCAGAGCATCGTTGCAGTGCTGGGGAAGGGCAGGGATCCAGAGGTGGAGCACATCAGCTGCAGGGCTGGCAGGAGCACAACTGTGTGTGCAGGGATGGGGCTCAGCAGCCATGGCTGTGCTTCCCTCAAAGATGGTTTTCTCTGTGCGTGAAGCAGAGGCTGTTTCTCTGATATGTGACTTTATCGGTTGGGGGGAGTGATGGGTGTGGGAAAGATATGGAGAAAGCACAGGGAAACGCAGCAGTTTAAATGAATAAAAAGATACTTTTTGTTGGAGTCATTGCACCAGGAACAAGGAGCCTCTGAGGAAGGAAAGTGAGCCTGGGGAAAGGGAAAGTTGAGGTGTCATTGATGGAGGAAGGGCTATAAGGATTTCAGCCTTATCAGTTAAGCTTGAGAACCCAAATGCTGAGGATTGTAGAAAGGGTGGGGAGCAGAAGGCACGAGGGGACAGAGTAGGGCACAGAGCAGAAAGTGAGAGAGGCAGGAGCAGGGACAGGGCTGGCCATGAGCTCTCTGGACTCTCCGTGGGCAAGAGGCAAGGGAGTAAGGATGGGAGCAGAGGAAGGAATGGTGGTGACCCAGACAAGCAGACAAACCCTTGGACCAAACCGTGGTGAGGGGGCCAGGAGCTGACAGCACAGGGGCAGCTCCTGTCACCAAAGCAGGACTGGCCTGTGATAAACGCTCAGCTGTCCTGGACACCCTCCCTGTGGGTGACGACTGCTTTCTGCTCTTAGCACAGGATCAGTGGGGTTCGTGCTGGGAGTCTGAGAGTGTCCTCAGGAGCTTTGGGGAGCCTTTACCTGGAGCTGTGCCCCAGCAGGGCAGCACAGCTGGCTGGGCTGGGGGTGTCACACCAGCTCATGCCTTACCTGTCCCTGGTACAGGTGATGCCTGGCCCTGCCCTGGTGCACACACAGGCTGTCAGACCTGTGCCCCTGACACCCAAATGGCCCATGCTGGGTGCTGGGGCCCTCTGGGAAACCTGATGTGGAAGAGAGGATATGGCCAGGGCAGAGCTGAGCTCATGTGCCTCCCCATGGGGTTTGCCCAGGGGACACATCTGCACTAAGGCACCAGGAGGTACCATGGGAGGGGATGTGACAAAATCCCTCTGTCAGCGCCTTACAGAAGTTACCTATAGTTGTTCTCCCGTTCATTATTTCCCAGTAAAGCAATGTAACAATTACAAATTTGGATTACCTGAAAAAGCTGCTGAAAGCAGGATAAATTATTAATTCCCAGGCTGCGCTCTGAAGAATTAATTTCAGCACCACATATTGAAAATTCTCCTTCATGAGAAATAGCCTGGTTTTTGAGAGCAGTGTGATTCTGAAAAAGTGAGATTCTTCGGAGCCATTATTGTATTTTCTGACAATTTTATTTTTCCTTCAATCACTCTTCTTTAGCACACTCAGCTAATATAGTCAAATTAGTTGTAGGAAACCTGCATTTGTAAGAATTCTGTCTCTGTATAAGGTACTGAAGTAATTGGGATTCCAGGGCAGAACTGTGGAAATTCTTAGCACGGTTTGTCCATATCTTATCAGAACAGGCACGCTTTCCCCACAGCCTGGCCTCTTGCCAGAGGGACTGAGCAGACTTGTTGGAAGCCCCCTTTGAATGGGAGAAGTAATCTTCCTGAATGGATTTTCTGGCACAACTCCTCTTGCGTGTGTGGTTCATTGTTCTGGGTGATGTGGCTGTATTTTACCCCCTAGATAAACATTTTAGGGTTGTTGTTTTTTTGATGATGGGAGAGGTCCTGGGAAAATAATCAGATGGCTGGTTCTATAAAATTCTATAGGCAAATTGTTTTTCTGTTGTAAGTGGTTTTCCGTGTTAATTGTGTGGCTTTATAAGCATAATTTTGATATAAAGGACAACAGCTGACTAATCCTGGAACTTTTTGATGCTCAAAAGGTGTAGTAATTAAAAAGCAAGCCATTTTCTCTTCTTCAAGGCATTTTAACAAAGTGTTATTATGCCAGTTCATGTATGTACAGATGTATATTGGGTGTTCATAGTATAGTAATTCACTAAAACGTACTGCTGGTGGTGTCAAAACTAAAAGAAGTGGTTGCCAGTGGTGGCACATCCTCAGCTGTTGTAAATGTCCTCCAGTGAAGTTGGAGTTGATCCCTCTGTGCACCACAGTCCTGCTGTGGAGCTGTGCCAACCTCTGTGAGCAGAGGATCCGGCCCTTAATATGTATTACAGGATAATTAATACGATGTGTAACCACAAACTAACCGCAACACACAAAGAAGTTCTATTTTAGCCCCGCTGGAGCAAAGAAATAACTGTTAATGCTGAAGACTGAAGTGCAAGAGATTGCACAGTGGGGGAAGGAGTCAGAAAGAAATCCAGATTTTGAGTTAACATGTGTACAGACAAATTCTCACGTCCCAAGGCTAAGTTTTGTCTATAAAAATTCCTTAAGATTTGAGTCTTTTTAATTAAAACATAAAGGATAATTATCTTAAGCTCATATCTGCAGAGGAAGAACTGTGTATTTACTTATTCTCTGCCAAAAAATCTTTTTAGCTGGAAAGATTAACAAAAAAGCATTGAAGTATAAAGAAGGGCCTTCTTTTTATTGAAATATGTATGTTTTGTCAACAGATCCAAAACAGAACAGTTACAACCATTTTTTTCTTTCTTTCTTTTTTAAAATAGGGGTGGGGGAAGCATCCAAGTCCAAACTTAGTGCCTCTAATGCTTGGAAGGCATTATGATTAATTTTTGTCCTTAGGTTTCCAGATGTTGGATTTTGTCCCAACTTTTAAAGACCTCTAATGTTTAACAGGATATGTGCTGAGTGTAGTCTTTAACAGAGTTTTCTTTCATAACTCCAGGATCTATGAGAAAAGGTAACTCAGGAAACCGCCGCAGATTCGGAGCTGAAGCCCCAGCCCTGCAGGAGAGCAGCCAAGGCTGAACGTGCGAGGTTGGACCGGAGCCGCGTTCCCTCGGGACGACGATGGCCAGGGCCCGGAGCTGGCAGCAGAGCCCTTGGGATGCCCTGCTCCTGGTGCTGCTGTGCACGGGCAGCTGCCAGGCTCAGAGGGACTGCACGGGTGCCGAGTGCCAGCCCCTGGAGAACTGCATCGAGGACGTGCTGGAGCCCGGTGAGTGCTGCGCCACGTGCCTGCAGCACGGCTGCACCTGCGAGGGCTACCAGTACTACGACTGCGTCAACGTGGGCTTCGTCAACGGCAAAGTGCCCGAGGGACAGTCCTACTTCGTGGACTTCGGCAGCACCGAGTGCTCGTGCCCCAAGGGAGGGGGCAAGATCAGCTGCCAGTTCATGCTGTGCCCGGAGCTGCCCCCGAACTGCATCGACGCGGTGGTGCCGGCAGATGGGTGTCCCCAGTGCGGCCGCATCGGCTGCCTGCACGAGGGACAGAAGTACGTGGCGGGGCACACCTTCCACATGCCCCCTTGCAAGGTGTGCCACTGCCCCAACGCCGGCGGGGAGCTGATGTGCTACCAGCTGCCGGACTGTGACACGTTCTCCCTGAACACGGCCAGCCCGGGGGACGCCGAGGACGGCGAGCCCGAGAGGCACTACGACGATCCCTACAGCTACGACCAGGAGGCCTCGGAGGGAGACAACACCCAGGTGGAGTCTCCAAAGAAGTACAGGAGTTACTCGTCCCACCTGGAGCACGAGAGCCTCAGCCAGGAGCAGGGTGAGGACTATGACTACCTAGCGGCCAGCGTGGCTCCCCCGGCGCTGGCCACGACCGACCCTCACACCCAGGCCACGGTGGCGCCCGGCCCCACCCAGGCGCCCAGGGGCCACGCCGAGTCCCGCGGGGCCACGGAGCGCGGCCGGAGGCTGCCCCGCACCACGGCACCCTCCCTCCAGCAGGTGACACACAAGGAGACGGCAGCCACCACCGGGGCTCCTCCACAGCACACCACGGCCACCACCGAGACACCCCAGCGCCTGGAAGAGCTGGAGAGGAGGCCAAAGGGGAACAAAGAGAGGCACGAGCAAGAAAGAGCCCCTCACTCTAAAATGAAAAAGCATGCCAGGAAGGAAGAGCCAGAGAACAGCATGTATCAGGGCTTGAAAGAGGTGAACTTCACAGAGCCCAGCTCAGCAAGGCCATCCCATGAGAGCCTCGAGGGGAATGATTTCCCCAAGGTGAAGTTCAGTGCAACAACCTCTCCTCCTGTGGCTCTAAAGGAAGACCGTAGCCAGTCCTCCCCAAAGCAGTCACAGACTCTGTATCGTTACCATCCTGAGGAGGATGGAGACCCCAACTCCATCCACGCTAACCCTAGGCTGCCAGAAGGTAAGAATGACTCCAGTGTGGGTGCCTAGAGAGCTCTTACTCATGGTAACACTGGTGCTCATCCTCTGCTGTGTTGTTCTGATGCTGCACGTGGCCTTGAAATCAATCAAACCACCACCAATCTTCTTCCAGCCCTTCAGGAGGTGGTTTGTGTTTGTTCACAGAACAGGTACCATTTCACTGCTGCCCACCTTGCTTTGATTTCACACACAGTGGATGGGGTTTTCTGGTATTTTAACTTTATTTCAGGTGATGATTTATTTAACTCTGGCATTTTTCTTCAATTACTTGCTTTTAACTTCTGTTGTGATATTAAAGAAACATCTTCCTCTACACAGAAGGATTTAATTAGTTATCTAAAGTTACCAACTCAGTGTAATCACATTTGTGGCTTTTGTCTTCTTCTGGGAAGGAAGTGAAACAGTTGTGCTTTCACTTTCTAAATAAAAATATTTAGAGTACTTGTAATATTTATCTCATGGTTGAAAGCCTGTCTGACCTCATTACTTCAAGAACTTGAGAGAAACACTCAAATACCCCTGAGGACTAGTAGGGAGAAAAAGGGCTCTCTCTTGCTTTATGTTTTTTTGGGGGCTGGCAGTTTATGATGTTTATGATCAGCTGTGGCAAGTACACGTATTTCCTTCTGCCTCTGGATTCCTCTTGACATCTGCAGGGAATGTTGATTATACGCTCTATGCAATGCTCATTACTATAATGAATGCAAACTTCATCGCTGTAAATTAGCACATATACAGCTCATATTTCCAATTCATTTTTCATCAAATCAAGAGCAGTACCTCCTCTTTCAAGATGTGGCACAAAATGTTCTCACGAGACTCAGCTGGGGGTTGCTTGCAGAGAATACTGATGAGTCCCTAGGCAGTGGCATTTCTCCTGGGCTGTGTAGGTAGCCCTTAAATCTTGAGCTGTCCAGTCCATCTCCTGGAGAGGTTTAAGGCAGATGGGAGGAGGAGAGCAGATTTGGAGCTCGGACTCTTAAGTCCCAACACCAGCAGCACCTCATGGCTATTTCAACAGAAAGCGTGCCAGGTCCATGGATGGAGATAGAAGCTTTTTCCTTTTCTTTTGACTTCCTTTTTATTTGGTCCAGCCTACCTCAAAATCTGGGCTGTGCATCAAGGCTGTGTATGATGTGTGGGCCTGAGTTAGGACTGACGCACAATAACCTGTTTCCTGATGTAACTTTAAAGAAGATATGTTTTAAAAAATTAAATTACCTTTTCTTTTTCTTTCAAAAAAAAGGAAGAAGGGGTGGAGCACCCTGAAATTTTCAGTGAGAGGGTTTAAGAAAGTTGGCATGAAAGTGTTCAGCAGCAGAGCCAAAAACTGGATTTTAGAGTCTACTTGGATGATTTGCAGTCTGTGATTCCCAGGAACTGCTTGGCTGAGACAGGTCTTGTTGACGGCTGGATTAGGTTGGGGTTCCTGGAGCAAGATGTGATGGATGGCATGCCAGGCATGAATTGTCCAGCTGACCGAAGCAGGCTTGGGAATCACTGAGCCCATTTTCCCCTTAGCTGAGATACCTACAATTTCCTTTAAATATTGCAGAGGCAGAAATTTAAAAGAAATGTCCCGTGGGAGCACAGAACTCCCTGACTGGCTGTAGATGCTGCAGCTCTGAGGCTGCTGCTTCCCTGCCCCAGGGAGCTGCTGCAGGTTTTGAGAGGCAGCACTGGTGCCACCACACCATGTCCATCACCCACAGTCACTGACAGGTGGGACCTGGATGGCAGCCCCTGGTCTGCCCCTCCATTCCCATCAGGAATAGTGGTGGAAGATCTGTGTGGAACTACAGAGCCCCTCCAGAAATGGGGGCTCTCTTGCCATGACCAGTGCTTGTGCCTAGGGATAGCAGTGTTTCCACTCGTTCTGCTCTTTTAATTTACATGCTTGTGATTCATGGGAGCAGCTCCATGTGTTTCGAGTAATAAAACACATACATCTTGTCTCTTTGGTGACTCCTGAGCCAGTGGTGGAGGGGGAGTGAAGATATTTGTCAGACTTGAAAGAAAAATTAATCTCGCCTACAGATACAGAATGAAAACATAATTTTTTTGCATGTATTTCCAACTATAAAATGACAAAGTCTACCAGAATTGCCAAATAACTTATTTTCCCCCTTCAGCAATCGTCAGAATGATGTAAACTACATCAAACCCCTGATTTTCAGAGCCTGTGGGGCTCTAGTGCTGTTCTCTAATGAGGCTGCAGCCACTCTGGCATTGTGCGGGGTTTTGTTCAACCCATTCTCAGCAGAGTGCTCTGAGGTCCATTTTTGTGACTCTATGGCCATTCTAGATTCATTTTTATGTTTTGTTTAGTGTTTCTTTTTGCCCAGAGTTTAGAAAAGTTTAGAGAACTATGGGAGCTTTCAGAGAGGCTTTCAGCCTGTCGAGCTGTATCCTGGCTCCAGAAGTCTGCTGTGGTTGGATCCTGGTGCCTTTGGTTAAAAACTTGGCTTTATTAATTGTATTTTACATATCTCGCTTTGGTTCTATATGTAGCTGAGTTTTCATCTGCCAAATCTCTGCTGGTTCATACATAATCTAATGGTGGAAACAACGTGGAACACTTTGGTGCTCAGAAAAGGTTAATTTTGTGGTTTGGTTTTCTTTCTTCTTTTTAGCATTGTTCTTCATCTGTTGTATTGCCCTGTGTTCACCTACTGTGTTCCTAGAGGAGCTGTAAGAGTATAGCAGAGGTAATTACTGATCTGAGAAAGTGTAAATTAAGTGCTTTCACCATGGGAAGGGATGAGATTAATGGAGACTGTTCTCTTTATACAGTCTCTCTCCAAACATTGATCTTACCCTGTCACTTACTGCAAGAGCAGCAAATGGGGGGAATTTTAATTTCTGTGTTGCCTATTTCCTCATCCTAAAAATGCCCTGATCAGGGCAGAGCTGACTGAAACATATTTCAAGAACTTAGCGTCAAATTCTGTTATGATTTTCCCACTTTCTTCCATTTCTCCATGCTCTGACAGTAGAGTGCTGTTCCTTGGATAAATGTAACTCAGGTAGCTAACAGCCTCACTGTGAATGTTTTATGATTTGTGTTCTGGTTTGGGCAACCTGTCATGTCTCATAGTGGAGGTGTTTTTCCACTTAAACTGCTCCACGACTGGTGATTTTTTTTTATCGTGGTGGCTTTCAGAGATAAAGATAATTGTTCTCAAGCTGGAGTGAATTGCACCAACTGGGGAGCTGAGATCAGTGGATGTGAGAGTGGCACTTACTGCACTGGATCCTGACCAGGCAGGAGCTACTGGGGAGCTCCTGTGAAACTTCTGAGGATGTAGCTGAGATTTCAACCCACCCATCTGCTGCATGTTTGCTGGTTCTGAAACTCTTGGAGAAAGATGACCTTGAATTTCTGAAATGAAGGACAAACGATCCATGTGCAGGTCCAGGAGTTGGACTTGATGATCCTTTTAGACTCTTCCAACCTGGACATTCTGTGATTCTGTGAAAGCAGACCTGCAGTGAGGGTTTGGAAGCATTCCCTGAGCACACCCACCCTTTGTCCCTCTTACTGACACCATAAAAAGAACTGGAGGTGGGAGGATTCTTGTCTGGTCCTTCAGAAACAAGCTCTGCAATTACTTTGGTTTTTATTGCTATCAGGTGAAGTGTTGTCTCATTTTTACTTGGATTACCTCAGGCTTAATCCTGTGTTCTCTACTTTATTCCAGTCCTTTCCGTAACAGAAAGAAATCAGCTTTGAGCCCTCAAAATAGGATATCTGAGGAATAAAAATAAACCTCAGGAGACTGGTGTAGGATAAAAAGCCTCTGGGCCAGCAAGTGTGAATCAGCATGAATTACAGCCCTGGGTAACAGTGTTCAGGAGTTTGTTTGGTAGTTGAAGTTCTGAGGTAGTATGAATGGGAATAAGGCAGGCTGAAAGAGGAAGACTAAAATACTATAAAATGAAAAAGTGTCTATCTGTTCTGCCAAAAATGGCCTTTGTACATTATTAGGCGGCCAGATGCTAGTTTAGGAGGAAAAAAAGGAAATAATTCAACTATTTCTATTAATGAAAACATCCCATGTATGATATGTGGGGGGTGATTCCCTCATGGCTGCTAGTGTACAGCCTTCTCTGCACCCCTTCCCTTGTCACCTCAGGCATGGATTTGTGAGCAGAGGGTGCAGGGAAGACCCAAACCTGCCCAAATGACACAGAGGAGTGGTCTCAGACTAATTGTTTGCAGACTCTGAAATAAACAGTAGCCAGAGTATCCAATCTGCAGGCACAGATGGCCAGATGGGACCTGGCTCTCTGCTTCCTCAGCTCCTGCTTTCAGTGCAGGCAGCATCCCGTCAGTATGCAGTGCTTGGAGCAGCCCCACGTGAGGAATAGGAGCAGGCACGCCGGCATTCCCAGTGTCCAGACCTGTCCAGCCAGGGCTGTGCTTTTGGGGTCAGTGCTGGGGCTTTGGGGTTTGTGTCTGGCTGATGGCTCTGGACATGTTGCTGCATGGCTGCTGCTTGCCTGGCTGTGTTTTGGGAGCTGCTCTGGGTCACATCCTGCTGCTGCTTTTCCAGCTGGCTGGGCTTCAGGGCGCCTCTCAGAGCTGCAGGCTCTGCATTGGGAATGTTATTCTTTGCAAGAATTCCCCCGTAGAGCCCAAAGCCTCGTCACCACCATCCTTTTCCCATTCCTCATGTGCATCTTCCTTCTAAAACTGAGATGTTAACCACAGGTCATGAGCTCCTGGCTACCAATATTCTTGTGTCAGGCTTTTATGGAGCTGTTTTGCCACTTATCTTAAAGAGTATTTTAAGCCATAGCTGTATATTGAACTAGTTGTCTTTTGTTAGACATATAGCTTAGATGATTCTTTTTAAAGCTGCAAAGATCTGTGCAGTGGCACAAGCCTGGTATGCAGAATGCCAAGACTGGGTGCCGTGCTTTGCTAAAAGCTGTGTAGCCCATCATAGTCAGATGTCTGCCGACTTTTAAGAGCCT